TACGTTGGATTCTCTCGGCCTTCCGTGAAATTTGTCATTGGGATGTGATTCCGGAAATGAATACGCGAAAATATCCTTTCTCTCTCTCTTGTTGGCATTTCATCGCAGAATCGTGATATTTTAGAAAGTTTACTCGGAAATTGCTAGACAATCCGAGATTTATACACAATTCAAGAATATAATACATTTTTAACGATGTGTTTTCAAGCTCAAAAGATGATGACTGATGTTCGAATAAATATCTAAAAATCCGAAATTCATTGTTCACATCTCACATTATTTAGGCTAATTAACTTTAATATTACATTCATATAATGTAGTTCGATAATTAAATTTTGAAGTTAAGCGCGTACACACGTATCCTGAAAATTTCGTTTATCCTCTCTATAGCTATAAACTCTACCGTGTTTATGCTCGGCGGAAATTGTAAAGCGAGAATAACGATGTAGCAAAACGATACGCAAAACTCACCGAGGCCTGGCAGAGATATACGTAATGCCGTAGAAAGTAAAGCTTTAATTGCTTCGAAGTTTCTACTTCGTGGCGCAAAATCATCATCATGTCATTAATGAAATTAGCTGTTATTAAGAAATATTTCGAGTAATGACTGTTTTGAGTTCTCTGCTATCACCAAAAAGATCAGAAAAGGCGTGTGAAAAGTTACTGACTCGACTAATTAATCATGTTAATTGATGAGTCTAGATGATATGAAAGAATAAGAAAGATAAACTCTGCAATAAGTCAGATAATGATTTGATGTTTTATTCAAAAAAGACTTGAGATTATTTAATTATTATGCTTGACGGAGAAGAAAAAAAAAAGGTAAATTAGTAAAAACCACTTATTGCTCACGAGAAGTTCGAAATTATTTTTGAACGACGATTATGTGTTTAACCTCGGTTTTCAAGAATATATAACTTTCACTTTCGAATCTCCGAGCTTCTTGAATAAAATGCGAGTTGCGTAAAATAGTTTGATGAGTGCAATTTTATCCTAATAGTCGTAAAATGAGTGCATCAAGCGTGCATTTACTTAATCACGGATGTTACAATATGCATCATCGCGTGAAAATGTCCCGGGAGCCTCGGGCAGTTCGTCTAAACGCCAATCTAGGCAGCTTACATTATGCACAAAGTTGCAAATTGAACGTTAAACGAAAAGGGTCGGCGCTTTCGTGACAGCGATCTCGACTTCGACGGCCGGAACGTCCCTTCGGAAAGTTGGAACAAAACACTGGATTTTTTCTCACGTAAACTAATCCAATTGCCATTTTTTATTACGTCTTCATACACAAATCGCTCGATAAATCTATCATATAATTTTGTAATTTATTGTAATTAAAGAAGTTGAACACACATCTGATATTACATTGCAAATCCAAGTGTATACCTAAGAACGGTGTTACTTCTACGCGAAATCTAAATCACAAACGTATATAAAAGCTTTTATTACACACTTGAATTTATAGAAAAAAGAAATTCGAGGAGTTCAGATTTCGAATTGTGGAACAATTCATTAAATGCGAGACACGTTGAGATTTTGGAAAATTTCAGAGAAGATTCGTAAAACTGTAGACTGATACGAAGAATTGTTAACGTCAGTAAAAATAAATATAAAAAAAAAAGTAGAATTCGTTTACGGTGAATTGGGGTTATCACGAGGGAATGCATTCGGCGTGATGGCTCTGAAAGAAGAACGCAAAACGTGTTAAATTCAGTATAATATATTTTCCATATAATATAATAATTCTCGCTATACAGACATTATTTTACAAAGCATGGTTTTCATATACTAAGTACTTCTTGCTGCGTTACTTAACTACTAAACGCGTCGTGCGGGTCGACGTCCGCCGGCGTACCGCCCGACGACGCATCTGCAATTTCCGCACGGGAGACCCTCTCTCGCACGTTGTACAGCCTAATTTTATACATTCATAATACTGGTATGTTCTTATCGAACGCGCCGCGTGTCGCGTCGTCGAAATATCGAAACGCCGGTTTCTCGCTGGGGTGGAAGTTAAGAAAGGAAAACGTCGCGCGGCGCTCGATCTCTCGAGAACGCGACTCGCGTTCCGCTACGTATACTGAAATCTGAAAAATACTTTGAAATATCTCGTATCTCGTATATCTTGGCTCAAGTCCTACGGACTCGTTCCATCCTCTCGCGTGTCTTCAACGTCCTACAAGCCTCCATCTCCGTATATATATTTACAGCTTTCGTATATCTTCATCTACGCGCGGATGGTATTATCCGTTTTATTTACAAAGTGGATGGCGCAGCTCTCTCATCTTTGCGAGACCAAAGTTAGACAATCGTTCGTGTCGAACGAACCGACTCTATGGAAATTCTGCAGACGAAAACGCGTTCGAGCGTAAAGAAAAACAAAAGAACTAAAGTTTTCCGGTCATAAGAAATATTTATAGCGTTCTGTGAACGTTCTTTCTCTCTCTGTTAGAGAAAATCACTGGCCGATTTAATCTCTCGATCGTACCAACGCGAGAATTGTCATCTAATTGGGTAGACTGCTTCTCAAATACTGACTTTACCACTTATTAATGTATAATTCGTTCGTGTCAGTTTGCGTCCAGTCTCGTCATAGTTTCTAGAAAAATCTCAGCAATAATCAGCGCAAGATTTGATATAATTTCGGTCTTAAGAGAACGGAACACGTTTCGCGCGATTGTTTCGCGAGGAAACATGCAATCATCGTTTGAGGCAGACGTCGCATCGTCATCGTCGTTTATCGCGCGAATTGCGTATCACTGTATCGTTCAACGACAACAAGGACTCATACCGATGGTATGACGAGGATTCTCTATACCACACGTAATTCGCATTTAACTTTACTTTTACAACCACGGCACTTGTTTCCACGATCAAGAGAACTATCGATCTTATCTTTTTTTTTTCTTTTCTAGAAAAGAAGAAAATACGTGAATCCGCCCCCATTGTCGTTCGCAAATTACCGGTCGCCAATGTCGTGCAATTTTCGGGACCATCGCCGTCACTCGGAGATCTCGTCAATATTAATTAAGTCGACCGATTCGTTCGTCTTCTCGAGGAAGAACGGCAGGTAAAGTGCCGGTTTCGCTTCGCCGACACGAGAACGCAGTTATTTGAATAGTCGAGCCCCCTTCTTCACGTCCGATGCCCCGATGCCGCCCTCTCTCCCGCACGGTCCTTCTTTGTCGTTCGTGGTGACCACCACGTAATTTCGTGTCATTTTAGATTTCTTCCCCCGCGGCTAGGTCCCCTCTAATGTCATATTAATTGTACATCCACGTTCGTCCGCGATTGGCCCGTCTTCTGTTGGCGCGACTGTGGTAACCGTCCTCGACATACAAAACCGTCTATCCTAGCCGGGTTCCCTAATTTAGTACGATGGTGCCTCATACCGTTGCCATATACGAACGAATCGCGTTGGTTCGCGTGCTGCGATGAATTGAATGCATGTGATAAATTTTGAAAGCCAAAAATTGCTGCGGTCATGAATATTGATTGATTTCGTTGCAGATGAGCGAGTTCATTCATTCTCAGCGTCAGAGAGGCGAGAATTTATAAAATTTTATGTAAAATTGTAAGATTAAAAGAATTGAATATAAAACCTTTGGCACAGCGAAATAGTTACTCGTTGATGATGTAATATTATTCGCTCGTATAAACCTCTTGTATCATTCTGCAAGGAAATCACCTACCGATGTTTAAAAAATGTGCACGTATTATAGTTACTTCGCGCGGTGAAGGTATAATTTAATTTATAAATATTAAAGAGAGCAATAAAATTTCGCAATAAAATTAATCAATATTTAAATTTAAATTAAATAATTATCTCACAGTGTAATTACCGATAACTGTGATCAAAATAAAACTGGAACGTGAATAATTTTGCTTCCGTAAATTGTAAAAATATTGAAAAACAAGTACCTTTCAAGCGACGGACCAATCACATGCGGAGTAGTGGAAAATGAAATAATGAATGGACAATGAATGTGTAATAATGAGTCTCCGTTTGTCCGAGGGATAATGTTTCGGTGAGGCACGCGGGATTTTTACTTTCGTCCGCTCTCTACACGCCCGATCGTATCAACATTGAATATATTGTTTCACCGTAACCCGCCATTCACTGAACGCTCAAATCACGAAGTTCGGTTAACCGCACGATATTTCCTGTTCGCTCTCATTATCTACAAAATCCCGGACGTCCCGTGCTATGTCACTTCCTGTTCTACCTCACGAAATCGGCCGCCGTGCCGTTCCGTTCGCATCTCATTTCGCTGACTCCGCTTCAAACCTCGCGAATCTCTTCTCACTTTGCTCTCTCCACATTTTAAAATAACCGCGACAAAATAATCTCTACTTAGTCTCTCTCCTTGATGCTTGCGTATACACCTGGATATATAGCTTCTTTAAGCAGTCTCGTTATACATCAGCTGCGTTCGTTTCTTCGTTTGGATTCGTGATAGCTGCGTGGATCGATACAAGTTCTCAAGGATATATATATATATGTATATATACAGCGTTCCTTTTCAGGATTATATAAATTTTATCGATCAATCTCCCAACAAATTCTCCATATGGATATCGATTTGTTTATTTATGAACTGTTAATGCAATAGCTGCTGAAATTTGAGCGACTTCGTTATCTCGTTCGAAATTGCCTGATTAATGCTAGTTAAGTGAATTCGATTTTAATTATTCGTATCAGTGTCTCGTAATGAGTTATCGCATCAATCAGTATTCTCAAGCTTGCCCATATGTTTCAATAGCTGCTCGATTCACACGATACAATTTTCAAAAGGATCATCCATCCCTTGATAGTTGCCCTTATCTTCTGATGTTAACTCTTCGCGTTCGCCATTAGTTCATTTATTCCGAGGTGACGTGATGTCGTGAGGAAATTAATCCATTCCACACGTTTCCTAATTATCCTGCACGACATACTGGTCTTCCTCGTGCAATACACCCGACGTGCCACCGTCGGTACCGGGAATCTCCATGTCCTAGATATCGTGTATGCTTTCTTCATCGCTGTCAGCCCTTACACTTCGAGGACTGTCCTCTCTCTGCACAGGTGATCTGTCCCGGCTTTGACTTCTGTCACGTTGTCGCGTTCGGTTCATACCTTCTCGTCCATCCATTATCTCCGGACTGTCTCTGTAATAATTGTTCAGATTCGAGGTGGGTGCGAGGGGCCCGAGAGGATTGCTAGGACCTGCCTGAATCATCGTCGAGGGATATGATCTAACGTCTTTCCTCAAGGGTGATCTGTCCCTGGAGTCCGGACTCTTACTGCTCCTTTCTTGCTTCCTCGACCTGTCCATATTCTCCCTACCTTCCATCAACTCCGGACTACCTCTGTAATAGTTATTCATATTGGTGAGATTGGAGGTGGTCAGTGTGCCAAGAGGATTGCTAGGACCCGCCTGCATCATTTGCAGCGGGTACAGTCTTGCCGGTTTTCTAGTTGGCGATCTGTCTCTCGATTCCGGGCTCTTGCTCCTGTCCCTTTTCCTCGAGGAATCCCGACCGTCGGCCATCTCCGGGCTGTCCCTGTAATAGTTGCTCAGGGTCGACAGACTGGAGCTCGCGGTCAAAGAGCCAAGAGGATTACTTGGCCCCGCTAGAATCATAGGCGGATATAGACGATAGGGAAGTGGTTTCTGCAGAGGCGCCGCCGTCGATGATGGCTGATAGAAGAATCCGTTTGCGGGTAACGCGTGCGCGCTGGGATACTGCCAGTAGCGTCCTGCGGCAGGATGTGCGGGGACGGTACTGCCGCTGTATAGATGCTGGAAGGCGGCGACAGCGAAATTATTTTCGGCCATGATCTCGAAGCCCACGATCGTTTGTCGCTTCCATTTCGTTCTGAAAGTACAAAGGAAGCAAGCACATGAGCAACAATTTCGTAGTAAAAGTTTTTGCAATTTATTTACATTAAAGTTTTCGTTCAAAGAATGAAGAATTTCTTTGAAGATAAGAGAAGATTATTACGTTGACATATTACTTTAGTATTGAATACAAAATTCGACAAAATTTAAATTACATTACAGAAATGTATCAGTCATGTGATATGAAAATTTTGTAACGATAAGATAATGTGAGAGTAAAATATCTATAGAATAAATTTACGACTTTGATATTTTTAAACTAATTCAGTATACATACTCGCGTAAGAATGCTGTACATCGGCACTAAAAAAGAATCATAAAATCCACTGACGTGTTCAGTATTTTGATGAAGGCTATACGTCAGTAATGACCAGCGATGAAAAACGACTCGGCTATTCAAGACATTTACATCAGGGCGATCGTTATTCTTATAACGTAATATCGGCCAAATAGATCTAAGTTAGGCCTACCAATGTCAAACGGCGGGCCCGTGCAAGCTGCGATATCGCGATGTGAGGTTTGATCGCCGGAAGCACATGCGAGCATAGCGTAGTTCCACGGTAGTTTTCCAGATTCTAATAGCGAACGATAAGATCCGTTCCAAGTATTTCAGCTGTTCGTTCCTCCGTTTGTAGCGCCAAGTTTCGTCGGCATAAGGATCGACTATATAGTGGCTTTCGAGGCCACCGCCACCCGAAGCAATCACGAGCTTTCTGCAATTTCTCCCTGGGACCGGCCCCTTCCCTCCCTCGCAGTGCCTCTCTTCACCCTCCTCACGTATGTAAATCTCGATCTGGGACAATTACGCTAAAACGGGGTGGCGTGCCGCCAAGTGGTTACGTTGGCCACACTACCGGGAGCTTATTATACTAACAAATAGCCCGTGGAGTTTCAGTGCCTAATCATCGCGTATCATGGCACGCACACACATACACACACACACACACACATACGTGCATGCATGGATATATATACAGATACATATACCTGAACCGCACCTGCGAACGTAAAAGCGCCCTTAGAGCGCGCGCGAGACAGAGATATATCAACAGGCCGTGGTCTGGGGGGTTGATATCGTGTAACGGGGACGAAACGAACGCTATGAAACATGAAGGGAGACAGAAGGTGAAATTCTTTGCCGAAGGCCATATTAACCGGACATTATTGCTCGGTAACATTGCAAATCATACCGCGAAAATCACGATACTTTTCACAGAAGCAAAACGCGAATTACATTCGCGCGATCGGTCGTACAGTAAAACCGATTACGCCCAACGGAATCTTCGAATGGCGTGCATGGAGCACATGCATGTGCGATTTGGATACTAAAAACAGAATTGTAATGTGTGTGTGTCAGAAAATGGAATAGAAAGAAAATAACATACATCATGCGAGCATACGGAGAGCGAAATATTTATTCGAGTTATTACGAAGACATGGATAGAGAATCTTCCATTAATTTTAAGTCAATTTTTGAAAATAAATGAAATATGAGAATTATGTACTCGAATATCGATATTTGCACTTATTGAAAATGTATCAATCATGAAAGCTATGCTTATACTTTAATAATTCGTTTTAAATTGATAGTGAAGAATTCCCCCCCTTTCCCTCATTGTATATTTTTAAAGAAGAGACATGTTGTATTATATTTTTATTGTGGAAAGACGACAATAAAAATGATTTTTATGTTTTCATAACAAAAATTGTAAAATTATTCTTTGCCTATAAGATTTATTAATAAGATGACAAAAGTGGAAAAAAAAATGTAGAATCTAAAAAGTAGCAGCATTTTACGAATTATCGGACTTGTAACCTTCGTATAATAATCGAAAACGTTATGAACTTTTTTTCGTTTGATAAACACGATATAAGAGCGCGTGCTCACGCGATTAGGGGAACTCGCCCTTTATAAGAGAAATATATTAAAGTGCCGCGTCGAGCGGCTTAATACGAAATGAGGCGAATAAGACAGAGAAAAATGTACGTAAAGAGAAAACGACTGTGAAGGGCTATTATATTACATGAGCCAACCTGCCATAACGTTCATGAATAATATCAAGAAAATTACAACCCTTTCGTGGCGGCGAGGCGTGAATTACATCCGACGTTCTTGCTCGATAAGTGCAAGTAGTTTTTGCCACCCCTGCTACTATCGCCCTTCGAAAAAAGTTATATATATATACACATATATATGTGTATACATACTACGTATCTAAATGCTATATTGTTATTTGTAACTATAACTAATTAAATCATAAATATGATATATATAATTGTGGTTACACCAAATATTTTAATTTAGAACATCAATCAGGACGTCCATAAACGTCGTAAAATCAATTGTATTGTGATCACAAATAGTTAAAGAGAGACAGATTGTACAATTTCGATCAGAGATGCAAAATTTAATTGAGATAATTAAATATATAATTAAACAGAAACTATCGGTAATCATATATTGATAGCTTCTATTTAATTATCTCGTTTCATTGGTGTAACGTCTAATTAAATTTTAGAAATTCAGTCGACGAATTGCACTCCCCTCGAGACCTTTGAAGGTCGTTTTTATTCACAATGATAAATCAAACTAACTTTGTCTCTTAACTCAATAAAAATTCAACGATTCGCATAAAATTCCGACGATAATTAACGGGCACCAACACAATGTGTACATTTGTTACAGTTTTTTTTTTGTTAAAATTGCGGCCGCAATAAAAAAAAGATCGTATACCTTCGAAACATAACTGGAAATGTTACAGAGTAATAGTTACGAGGAGAGGAGGGTAGAGTGGGGTGTACTTGGTGGTCCGAGTAATTAATAATCAAGAGATCCGCGCCTGGCAAGGGACAAAGCGGCTCTAACGGATATGCAGCTCGCACGGAAAATTCGGCAATTAATATATTTCGTGGGGTGCGAGCCCTCCCCTCTCTCCTTCTCTCTCTCTCTCTTTCTCTCGCGATTTGTTCTGATGTATAGTCGCGAATGTGGGCCACTATCTCACTGTCTCTCTCTCTCTTTATTTCTCCCTTCCCCCTCTCTCGATATGGCTCTGCTCGCCCTTTTGTGACGGGTTGCGATAGGGGAGGTTGCAGTAAAATCGTTCATGAATTTTAAACAGGCACCTCTGAATCGAGCCACGATCATTTCTCATTTTTCTGCCGGCACGTCGGAGGCGCAAGAAGGACGAGCGTGTCCGAGCGCGAGAATCAAAGAGAAAGAGAGAAGGATAGGAAAACGGGGAGAGAGGAGAGAGAGAAAGAGAGAGAGAGAGGGCGACGGTGACAGACAGCGCCGAGAATCGCTCGTGCGATTATATGATGAGTAATGTTTTTTAATTCCCCCACTTTCGACTGGGGTTGGCCGGCGATTTTCGAGTGCAGCCACTCTAAAACACCCTTAATTGCCCGTTGGCTTTTTATAGTCGTCCGCTAGGAGCTAGGGAGGCCGGAAGTAACGGGGGATTCGAAGAGGGAGGGACGGGGAAGGAAGACGGAGAGACGAGAAGAGTCATTGATTTATCGCTTCTGAGGTGCTCGAGGGGCTGCTTGATCTCGCTCGACTGAAACGAGAAAAGAGGATGAGAGAGAAGGGTTGGAGATTGGCGAAGAAAGTGTAACGATCGCTTCCATCACGCTTCTATCCTTAATGATCGTGCAGTTCTTCGAATCGTGACAGCGTTGGAAAAAATTCCCGTTCTTTCTTACGGCGACAAACTCCCGAAAATCGATCGCATCGCTCTGCGAGTGGCGCATTCCCTGCCGTCATTGTCGAGTATCAGAGTGACGTGTTGCTTAGAAAGTTTGGGGTGACTTACGCGATGCCCTTCGAGAGACTTGAAACGCATCCGAGTGATTACGAAAAATGTCAATCGACTCGAAAATTACTGTCACTGTGCTTAACAAATTATTATTCCTTTCACCTTTCTCGTATTTTCTTACTCGATCATATGTTAATATTTACAAGAATTAATGATGATAAAATAACGAAGATTTTATATCATTCTATAAAGCCTGTTCTACAATGTGCATTTTGTTTCCTGTTTCTGGCTCTTTGCTATTTTTTTTACATCTTGCTATCGTGTTTTTCGTTTTGTATTGCTCGAGATAAAAATTAATAAACTTCGGAAGAAAAAAACAAGAAATACGGAATATAGTTGCCAATAGAATGGTTGTAAACAGGAAAGAAATCAAGAGATAAAATGCAATAAACAGGAAACAAAGAGCGCATTGTAAAATAGGCTTACTATACTTATTGTTATTACGGTCTATTCTTCATTTTTGCCTTCAGTGGGAAATGTTCTAGAAATGTTAAATCCGAAATTCAATTAATTTACTGACATGTTTCAAGCACGCAACGAAGTAAGCTCCGACGATTAGAGAGATGAAAGCGATAAACGTGATTCGCCAAAGACGAAGACTCACGAATGTTCAACTGTAACAGCCAAAAGTGCAAAAATGGCACATAGAAGGAGAGGGCGAAAACTAAGGGGAGAGTTAATGCATTTATAATGGTAGCTGGGTCTATTCGCTACTTTTGCGGTTACAGGCCTGTGCGACACTAATGTCCTGAAGCCGCTAGGGCGCTTTGTGGTAATAATGGTGACAGCGAGACCGAGAGAAAGAGAGAGAAAGAAAGAAAGATATGATAAAGAGAGAAAGGATAATATATTTTCAAATTATTCGCCTCAATGATTACGAGACACATGTTTCATAATGTAAAGCTTGTCCGAAATCGCATTGATATTCAGAGAAAGATAGAATGATTATATTATATGAACACATGGTACGATCATTATTACTAATATAATGCTTTTTATAATGCTTTTTAATAATGAATTTTGAGATACGTACTTAAATAATAATAAATTCTGCAAAAGAGCATACAATCTACATTTTTTGCGATCGTTCGGGGATCATTTTAATTCTATTATATATTTTCCTTCACACACATAACATTTAAATAATTTCTCATAA